CGAGATCAAATTATTCCTTATCTTCTCCTATCACCAAAAACTAGAGAAAAGAATCATTTGAATTGGTTTTTGAATTGTGATTAACCTAGTAGGTTAACACGGTATTTATAGGGAGTTCACATTGTGAACAAATGGAAATTTTTGACCTAATGCATAATGAGAATCAAGCAATTAAAACAATTTCCAAAATTACAGTTTTGATTAAAGGAACCTTTTAATATTTATCTTTTAATCCCAAAATAGAATTTGAAAAGATATTCTCTATTTGAGGAAAATATCCGCAAGTCCACAAAGAGATAGATCAATTTGGACATTCATGTTACCCACATCGTGTACGTCTGCACATTTACGAACCGATAATTGGTTTCACATTTTCCTCAACAAATTGGATCAATTTCACATTCAAAGCTTCAAATTATCAAATTTTTTCCAACAAAATTAAAATTTAATTTTTTTCTAACCAATAAAGTAACGAGAAAAAAACTTGGAAGAGTGAGACTTGGAGAGGATTTACAAATATAGTTGAAATTTAATTAGGACTCAATCCTCAAGTTCGTCGAGCTCTGCGCAAGGGAAGAGAGTAAAAAAGTAAAATAAATAAATAATTATTTTATTTTTAAGTATATGAATCTGGTAGAGTTATTTAACTTCAAATCTGATTCAAACTAAAACTCGAATTTTTTATATATAAATTTGATTTGACCCGAATTTTTTTTTAAACCAATCCTATTAAGTTAAATCAGATTAAATCCGATTCTATGCTCATCAAATTGATATTGATACCATTCATGAGTAATGATATTGTGTATATTTAATAATAAAACTACAAGATAAGTACCAATATTCTTTAATTAAATGAAATATCAAACATTGTTATGGTATCATACTTTATTATAGTATCGATACTGAATATGAACAACTAATTTTAAATTTAATGTTTGATTTACTTCCCTACATAGATGTTAATTGAAAATTAGAAACGAGATAAAAAGTGTAAACTATATCAGATACTACTGAATTTTATGTTTTGTATCATTTATTCTATTGAATTTTTAATTTTGTCAATTATAATACTGAATTTTTATTTTCATTTCAATTATTCTAATGGGTTGTTAAATTGTTAGTGGTCGAATCAAAATGACATCATTTTAGTGAGATGTCTATGTTGGCAGTCGTCAACCATATTATTATGTTATTAACGATTTAACGATTCAATGATATAATTGAAACAAAATCAAAGTTCAATATTATAATTAAACAAATTAAAATGTCAATATTATAAATATTATAATATCTAAAGTTCGATAATATTTGATGTAATTAACTTTAAAAAAAATATCACCGAAAGAGCACGATGATACCAACTACCAAGTAAAAGTCCATTTATGTTACGACAGTTAATTACGTGTAAAATGATAGTCAACGTTGTATGGTTATTAGTCTTGTCATGGTTGTATGTGATAAACTTTACGTTTTTAGTATGTGTTATATATATATATATATATATAATAAAAGTGCTTTCAGCAGTTAAAGGGAGTGTTATTTTTTTTTAAGATTTGAGGTTCGAGAAGTTGTATCTTTTATGGTGTGTGTGCTTTGTTAATAATTAAAAAACTAATGAATCATATTATCTTATAATCACCTAAACTATTAAAAAACATTTAAAAAGGTTAGATCGTAGAAATGAATAACATGCTAATATTATATTAAGAACATGATAAGTTAAGCACTCAATGCTTGAGAGACGCTTGCATGCATGTTAAAGAGAAAAAAGTGTCTCAACATGCTAATTTTGATTATCATAATATGTTTGAGGTGCATTAGAAGTGTGCTAGTCTTTAGAGATTAAATGTTAAAGTGTAAATGGAAAATGGAAAACATGTTCGGTTGACTAATATTCATCTTCAATATTATCACTACCATGAAGGAGGTGGTGATGGCAAATAGAAAACTTGTTCAGTTGATTAATATTTTTTCTTTAAATTGCGTGGCAGCCTCCAAAGCATGGAAGGATAAACCTTAATACAGACGAGACTTGTCAAGGAAATTCGGGCATATCAGTACATGTAGTATCTTGAAAAATACATCTGGTGAGTGAATATTGGAATTTTCAACACATTTAGGTGTTTGCACAAGCGTAGCGGCTGAACTTCATGCCATTAGATACATGTCATCACAGTCTCGATCTTCCCAATTAGAAGTTGGTCGTTTAAAGAAAAGTTGGCTGAGATGGATCAACAAATGGCTAACTTGAAAGCGGAAAATGAAGCAAGGGAAACAGAGAGAGCAGCGGAAGCAGCTAGAGCAGCAGCGGAAGCAGAGAGAGAAGCAGCGACATCACAGAGAGAGCAGCGGTAGAACAGAGAAGAATATATCAACAGAGATGTAAAGAATTTGAAAAACGACTCAATGATATGATGCTGATGATACAAAAAACGCAACCTCAATCCACCATCGTAGCCTCATTTAGTTATGAGCATTATTTAATGTTACTGAACCGTGTTTACTTAACCATATTACGTTAATGAAAACTTTTATTTATTATATTGGATTTGATGTTATTGTTGTTTTGTTGTTAGATAATGGAACAGTTTGAAAAAACAGATTGGGGTATTAAGTATAATTTTTAGAATTGTTAAATTCTGTGTATTTAGCGGCGTTTGTAACAAAAATGCTGCAATATACCATACAGTTAGCGGCGTTTTTGATAAAAACGCCGCAAAATCTCAATACATATTCTGCGGCGTTTGTAAGAAACCGGTAAAAATAAAATCTACTGCGACTTTTTGTAGAAAACGCCGCTAAACATCACGACTATTGCGGCGTTTGTCTGCCAAATGCCGTTAAATATCACACCTATTCGGCGTTTTAATGATAAACGCCGCTAAATATCAATACCTTTTTGCGGCGTTTGTTGAACAATCGCCGCTATATGTTGTAACCTATTGCGGCGTTTTTTGTTGAAAAACGCCGCAAACTTTAGCGGCGCTATTTTTTAGCGGCGTTTTTTTTACGCCGTATGTGTTTTTAGCGGCGTTAAAAACGCCGCTAGAAGTAAAAAAAAACGCCGCAATAAGCCAATTTGCTGTAGTGTAGATTTATATATTATATACAACTTCATCTGGACAAACCCAAACGCTACCAAAATCCTATACATACACAAACTCCATACTATATATATATATATATATATATATATATATATATATCTTAATTACGATTACAGAGATTTCTTTCTGAAAATGATTTTATGAAAGTTCCATCCTAAAATCAACAACTAGTCCGATCAAAAAGATTGCAAAATTTTTCAGTTCAACTGCGTCCAGGAGAGGATGAAGAAAACACCAAGTAGAAAGGGGGAACTAGGGATAGGCATGGAACTCAAACCCGACCCGATCAGGTCAGGTTTTTTAAAAAAAATTGGGTTCGGGTCGGGTTATTCAGGTTTAGGGTGAAAAATACCAGATCCGACCCGATTCGAAAAAAAATAATTTACCTATTTAAGAATAATTACAATAATACCACTCTATATATATTTTTTTCAATTAAATCATTGTTTTTATTGAATAAAAATATATTTTATTATTTTGAGTTGGGTCAAATCAGGTTCAGATTTTATCACAAAAACACGAGTCGGGTTGGCCCAAACCCGACCCATGCCCATCCTTTAAAAAAACCCATAAAAGCAAGCATGTGGGCACACGGATGAGGATGGGACCTAACCTGCCGAATTCTAACCCGAACCGACCTGATCGGGTCGGTTTTTTAAAATAAAAATCAGGTTCGGGTCGGGTCGAGTTTTTTTAAAGGTGATGTTCGAGTCGGTCAGATCATGTTTAGGGTGAAAATACCTGACCCGACCCAAAAAAATATAATTTTACCTTATATTAGGAAAATTACAATAATACCCTTTTATATATTATTTTATCAATTAAATCACTATTTTTATTATTATTTCGGGTCTGGTCGGATCGGGTTTCAGATTTTATCTCAAAAAATCGGGTCAGTTCAGGTTAGGATGAAGGTATATATTTTTCGAGTTTGGTCGGGTTGTGAATGATGTAAATTTTCGGGTCAAATTTATTTTGGGGTAAATTACACATTTTCATTTTTTATTATATCTCCTAATTTGCTTATCGAACTTTTAATTTTTCTAACTTACTCACTGAACTTTACAAATTGAATCATTTTGCTCACTCCACCGTTTTCTCTCTAACGGCAACTTTTTTTATTAGTATAAAATAAAAAATAAAAATAGAAGGTGGTTGGATGCCACCGCCACCACTTATCAGCCATGGATGGTGGTCATTTGGTCTCAAAATGGGATAGGTCGTTCGTCTGGACGTCGTGAGTTCGAATCCGACCTCTATTTTGTCGGAAGTTGCTCCGAAGTCCAAGAATTTGAGATTGAAAGTGAAAACTGAAATGTTTCAATCTAATTCACGGGTTTTGGGATATTTTTTGTTGAAACAACTACTAGATCCAGACTCAGGGTTGAGACGAACAGACACATCTCATTTTGGGACCGAACGATCACCGTCTACGATGGTTGACGGTGGCTAAAATGAAATGACGTACTGAATGCGGAGAGAAAAATGGAAAAGAGAAGGAAAATGGTAAATTACATCATAAGTCATTAAATTTACTCTATCATAAGACACCGTTTTAGATTAAATTTGAGTTTTTTAAATGACGTCATTTGATTCATGTGCCACGTCATAACTCCGTTAAAAAGTTAACAACATAGTGAGTAAAATGATTTAATCTGTAAAGTTTAGTTAGTAAAATAGAAAATTGAAAATTCGTGAGCAAAATAAGAGAGAGTAAAGTAGAGTGAGAAACCGTGTATTTACCCTTTATTTTATTTTTAGTGTGCTTTAAACAACCTGTAAATAAAATAATTGTAGTGTATATTTAAGGAAACCCTCTCTCTCTTCTCTTTGCTCTCTCCTCCTGTCCTCGTCTGTCTGTGACTTTGTACATTGGCATTTATATAAACATGCAGTAGAGCGTTTTTCTTTCTTTTTTGAAAATTCTGGGTATATCTGTACGTACCTCCCCTTCAATTTCCCGTATCTTTTCATCTTCCTGATTTAGATTTGGTATTATCTTTCAATCAACTCTAAGGATTGTTGCTGATACTAATACTAATACTTATACTGCTGCTCTCCCATTTACAGTATTTCCCCTTCCCCCTTTCCTGCTTGCTTCAGAGCTTTTTCTACAAGTACAACGATAACAAAAAAAGAATCCAAAGTTCCTCTCCCCCTTTTCTCTCCTTTCCAACTATGGATCTGTTTCCTTGACAGAATTTCCTTTTTTAATCTATGTTTTCCTTAAAAGCTCAAACCCACTAATTTGCTCCAATGCCGCCTGTCCACTTGCATTGTAAATGAATTTCAACACCGGTGGTTCCTTGCTGCTGCTTCCGAGTCTCGCCATGCTCGTTTCGTTTCTCTGCTTATTCTTGTTCTTGGTCCCAACTCTACTGGCTCAGTCTTCCAATACTAATGCATCTTCAACTAGAGCTGCCGCTAGAGCACTCGATGCTCGTCTCCAAGACTATGCCTATAGGGCCTTTGTACAGCCTAAAACGGGAGTGCTCTACAACGGTGTTGTTCCTTCTAATTTAACCGGGGTTCAGATTGCAGCAATGAGGCTGAGAAGTGGTAGCTTGCGGACCAGAGGGGTGGCGATGTACAAAGAGTTCCAGATCCCCATTGGAGTTGTGGAGCAACCTTATGTCGAACGCCTGGTTTTGGTTTACCAAAACTTGGGTAATTGGTCTTTACAGTATTATCCGCTTCAAAAATACACTTACCTCGCTCCCGTTCTGGGTCTTCTTGCTTACGACGGTTCTGATTTGTCGGCTAAAAATTTGCCGGAATTGGATTTAAGAGCATTTAGGGGTCCTATTAAAATCAGGTTCTTGAATGTGGAATCGGTTCCGGAAGGGTCAGTCCGGAAGTGCATTTGGTTTGATTTACATGGTTTGGTCGAATTCAGCAACTTGACGGCTCCCAATGAGTGTTCCACCATCCACCAGGGGCATTTGTCGATTGTTACCGAGTCGATTTCGCCGCCGACTCCGCCACCGGAAAGGGAGGGAAGGGGGAGTAATAGCAAAAGAATATGGATAATCATTGGTTCTGTTGTGGGTGGAGTGGCATTGCTGGCATTGTTGGGGATCTTGGTAATCTGGGCACGCAAATGCAAGCAGAGAAAGAAAATGCAAGAGATGGAAAAGGCTGCCGATTCCGGAGAAGCACTACATATGACCACCGTTGGCGATACAAAGGCACCGTCGGCAACCGTCACTCGGACTAAACCAACTCTTGAGGACGAATATGTGCCTTGAACCCCTCTCTCTGTGTATTCAGTCAATTATTATTCTGCTCAAAGCCTCGCACATATTCTTTTTCTTTTCTGGTGGTTTGTTCATGGTAACCTCTCGGTTGTAGTGTGGATAATTATAGGATTATTTTTTGTGTGTGTAGGCTTTCATGATTCATTGTGGTGTGCATTTTAGCCGAAATGATTCTGGTCCATGTCTTTGGTTACAGTTGTCTCATTCGTAAGGAATAAAAACCCTTTTTCTTCTTCTTGGGGTGCCTTGTTTTTTCGGATATACTTTTGTTGTCTGGTTCTGTGAAAATGTAGGATGAAGATTGCTTTCTAATCAAAGCAAGCTGATGTTTAAGCTTTACTCCAACTTTCTTTGGTTTGAGGCAAATCTTAAATCTTAGACATGGCAATGTGAGGCTCGAGATAAAAATTTATGTTTTTCAAATCAGTTCCGACTGCAAAATCAGTAATTGTTGCATACCCTGGCTATAAAAAGTTAAAAAAAGAATATTATATCAGTAAGAAAGTCTAGACTTAGAGGAGGTGGAGCAGATTCCAAGATTTTCAGATGGAATTCATGAAATTGGGAAGTGTAGAGTTGTTGAACAAGACTGTCCAGCCATTACTGCAACATGTATTAGCTAAAATATTTGAAGCTTGAATAATCTCTCTTCAATTGCTCTAGTCCAATTAATTTAGCCGACATATAATTTAAGATGTAGATCATTCTATTCAAGGCATCAACAGTCTTCTATTTACTTTCTACTTAAAATTTCATTATGGGTAGTGTGGTTAAGTATGTATGTCCAGGTTCAGCAATCTTGTCATTTTTACTTGCTAATTTCTTGAGTTCTTCCATATGCATAGATTTCTTCAAGAAGATTTCTAATTTTCTTGTTTGCTAAATAAGACTACTTTCTTACTGTAGAAAAAGAAAACAGTTAAGTATCATCCTTGCTGTATTTGTATTTATCTCTGCCATAACCATGGTCCACCAAGATGAATTTTTTACGCCAATTATCATTCTTATAGCTACTACAGATGTAGAAACTATAGCAGGATGTGTTTTAACCAAAGTGTTCTTGTAAGGCCATGCATATGATAGGGCTTTGGTTTTTTGACTATATCAGCTTATGGTATCACATTCATATAACTTTCATAGTCCAGTATGTTACCAAACTTGTCAGTGCTCTATGCTAGATTGTGAAGAAAAACAATATGATGCCAGCCTTCCCTTTGTACCCTCGGTATTGGTAGTAGTTGCACTACTACAATATTGTCTCATGACATTGATAGAGCTTGTTTCAGTGTCGCCATGGTCATTGTTTTAGTTGTCCATATAGCATGTATTCTCCAACCTCTTGTTCGGAATTTCACCTTCTATGTAAAACTGCATTTTCGGGAAAGCATGTGTTTGCAGGACGAGTAATCCTAGTGGTTTTCCTTGCCACATTTGGGCTACTTTCATATACTTTTGAACAAGAAAATAGCTAGTGGTAGTCATAGGCACAATGTTACCCCACATATCATCTTTATAGCAATCACAGATGATAGAAACAAACAAGAGCAGAGATTACTAGAATGTGTTTTTTTTGTTTTTTGAACCCAAGTGCATGCGATTGGGATCTGATGTGTAGACTATTGCAGCTTGTGATATCACTTTCATAGAACCGCCACAGTCATTAATGTGCTTGCAGAACTTGTGTGCAAAACGGCAGTAGGAGGCCAAGCTTCCATCTTTAGTGCTGCTAATGGCTACAGAATTGACAGCTTAGAATTTGGGCATCCGGTCAAACTGCATGTGTTGATGTTAATGCAGATGCAGAGGAAGCTGTAGGCGTAGGTTTTAACTATTAACTGAGTGTCCCAACAGGTTTTATTTCCATGCAGACACGCCTGCAGTGGAGATAACAGTGTTGTTTCGGTTTACGCGGCTTTATGAAGCTGCCGAAGCCTGTTTATGTTCTGGTATGACCTTGATTGCTTCGTTTAGGTGTTAGTTGAAGCGGTAACTATGTCTGCCACACTACTTAAAAATGATAAGTTGGAGAGGACAACATTTATGATTTGTGTATTTTAGAATGAAATAAAGTTGTAATAATGGTCCCGGCAGATTTGTTTAAATATTGAGTTGGAACAACACCACAACATTAGTTAGAGGATACTACGATGCAGACAGATACACATAATTAATGGGATACAACTCCCTTTGTTGGTATGTTTGTCTGTTTTAAAACCAAACCAAAATTAATTGATTCACTGAAGACGTGCTGTCGATTTCGGAAGCCCAAACTAGACCTTATTTAAGGTTCAGATTAAAAAAATGTAGCTGGTTAAAGTAGGAGTTAAAACTCAGACATCCTAACAAGTCGCCTGAAATCTATGGAAAGCTTAGAACTCTGGTGCTAAAACAGTTTTAGTATGATTAGGGATGTACATTTGACCCCGAATTAGGCATGTTTTGATTCGAATTTGGTGGGTTTAGGTTTCGACCTGACTTGATCATGTCAATTTTTTATTTTAAAAATTCAAATTTGGGTTGAATATTTTTTAAGAACAGGGTTGGTTTAGATTTGAATTTAAGGTGAAAATATGACCCAATTTAAAATAATATTATAATTGTCTCTTATATTTAAAGATGGTCGCAACAATACCCCTCTCTAATGTTTCTTTTTCAATTAGAGTCTTATTTTATCTAATAAAAATAAGATTTGTATATTTATATATTTGAGTGGGTCAAGTGTGAGTTTTAACTTTAAAAATCGGTTTAAGTTTTAAGTCAGATGAGATCTTCCTAAACTCATATCGGATTGAGTCAGGTGTATATAGTGGGTTTTAATTTTCAGGTCAAATTCAAGTGGGTCAAAATTCTGATCCGACCCATGACTTGTATGAATGAGGATGCATCTTTAAGTCGGTGACGGAGAGTTTGTTTGATAGTGGAAGGATTATGAGGACCATGGTGGAGTTGTGAAGGAGCATGTGGACTTGGTTACCGAAACCCCTATACACACTCAGACAACTTTCACTTTAAAAAAAATAATTCTGACCCCCCATGACCTGGAGACAATATTCACAAGGAATTTGAAAGCAACAAATTTTAAATACACCACGAGTTGAGCAACGTAAAAACATTAGCAAATGCTGTTAACATTACAAAAAATAGACAAGAAATACACAACTTCATCTGCTCTTTAGTCTTCTTCAGCAGGACAGAATATCATTGAGCACTTTTATTTCTAACATGAGCTTCTATGTGAGGATCAAACATAAAACACTATTTTCCTTTAACAAGAGAGGTGTATAGAAGGAAAATGGGCAGCAGCCATTAAAATCTATCCCCCAAATTGTATATGGAGAGTGTCAGGGTACCTGTCACTCCCAATGTGTTCAAGTGCATGCACAAACGACTAAATGCATATGAAACATAAAGAGCACAAGAAACATTGACTCGTGGCATTAGCATGAGCTCCAGCTGAGGGAGCCACCTTCACAAAATAATAAAAATAATATAGTAAGTTAGTGGCTGCCATTATTGTTTTATTTGTATTTAAAGTGTTTTCTTAACAAAAACATAATGCGTTTGACAAAGTTTAATTATGTTCATGTGGTTTAATAATAAAATATTCAATTAATTATTCGAAGTAACGGAATATGCTTTCATTCTATAGGGGCTCGTTTTTTTAGATTTTGCTTGGGTCCCGAAAATGTCCATGGTGCTGGCAGAGTCTTCTTCATGTTGTAAGAAATGCAAACTAAAATAAATGCAGCAATGTGTATTCAAACTAAAATAAATGCAGCAATGTGTATTCAATATTGAGCTCATGTGATAAAACCACCATTTCTAATTTGTTGAAATGGACAAACAAATCAAAACCATGTATAAGATCAATGCATACTACTACAAAATCATTTCAAAATCCTATAAACATATACATGAATATGTATGTATGCATGTATGTATATCTTGGAAGTGAGTGTATCATTGCTGGATTGAAGCTATTGTCCTTAAGAGGCCAGAGGTGAGCTTGTCGTGACCGTCCCTTTTATGGGGCCACAACCGGGTAGGTACGCCAAGGCCAACCATGTATAGGGCCTAGTGGCAGGGTAGAATAAACTTGTCCTCTTTTCAAGCATTTTAATGTTTTAGGTAGGGAGTGGGGGTATGACTTACTGTCCCCTGTTCGAGCATTTCAACGTCTATAGGTAGCATTTCTGTTATTTTGTTTTTGCATATATGTAGGGGTGGACAGCCGGTAGAGTTTGAGCTGATCCACAAGTAAAGGTACGTGTCTTGTGAACACCATCGAGGGCCGCCCCTACGGCCTAATCGGTGGTGTGGGTGAGTCTTCTGTAACCCGATGTTTCTTTTATTAATAAAACATTTTTCTCTCGGAGAAGTCCGAGGGTTGAGGTGTGCATCCGCTATGCCCCACGGGCTCGGATTATTGGTCGAAGGACCATGTGGCTATAAAGATCTAACGCGATGTTTGTTTATGCTTGATCAGATCTACGAGATTAAGGCTGCCTTGGTTGGGAAGCGTCCCTTTCGAGTGCCACACGGATTAGCAACCGAACCAACTAGGCTAAGTCCGTGACACTTGGTATCAGAGCACAGAGGTGCGTGTTCATTTACTAAAAGCACGGAGGTGCTCATTTTGTTGAGTAAAGCATGATAGTGCTTGTTACCTGCTTGTGGCACAGCTGTGCACAAGTGCTAAACCTAGCACAGAGGTGCTTCGCCTCAGGCCACAGCACGGAGGTGCTCGGTCATTTGTAAAAGCACGGAGGTGCTTGATTTTAGATTGTAGCACAGAGGTGCTCAATCATTCCAATGCACAGAGGTGCCAGAATTTAGATTGAAGCACAAAGGTGCTCAGTCATAGTTGGCTGCACAGAGGTGTCAGTCCTCGATTGAAGTACAGAGGTGCTCAATCATCTTAGCTACACAGAGGTGTCAGCTCCCGGCTGAAGCACAGAGGTGCTCAGTCATTTTTTTTACTGCACAGAGGTGTCAGTTCTCGATTGAAGCACAGAGGTGCTCAATCACTTTTGGCTACACAGAGGTGTCAGCTCTCGATTGAAGCACAGAGGTGCTCAATCGTTAATTCTAGCACAGAGGTGCTATGGATTCAGCACAGCGGTGCTCTTTTCCTTCCTAATTTAGGCACGATTGTGATTATTTGTATTGCAGGCATAGAGGTGCCAGCGAGTTACAAAGAATGGTTCGCACACGAAATGGCGGAGTAACAAGCTCTCACAGAGGTGTAGAGCAGGAAGTTACTAAGCCGGTTGCACCGAGAATGGTTCGCACACGAAATGGTGGATCGACAAGCTCTCACAGAGGTGTAGAGCAGGAAGCTACCGAGCCAGTTGTGCAAGAGGCTGGTTCGGTTGATCGACGGAAGCTAGAAGAGATCGAAGCCGCACTAGCTGCCCTTAGAGCTCATATGATATCTGGTGATCGTATGAGGAGAGTAGAGGAGACCCAAGAAGATTTGCTCGAGACAGTGACTGATTTGGGCAATGAGGCAAGAGATGGCATAGGCGTGATACAACTTGGGTATGATGAGTTGAAGGCTCAAGTCAGTGTACTTCAGGCAGCGGTAGCTAGTTTGACCGCAAACCCTATTGAAAGAGTGGGCGTACGAGCCAAGATCCCTGATCCTCAACGCTTTGATGGAGCGAGGGATGCTAAAGAGCTTGAGAATTTCTTATTTAACATAGAGCAGTATTTTCGAGCTATGCGCACGGAGTCTGAGGAAGATAAGGTGGCAATGGCTTCGATGTATCTAGGTGGTGACGCCAAGTTATGGTGGCGGTCCAAGTTCAAAGATGGAGTGTGCTCCATTACGACTTGGGATGCGTTAAAGAAGGAGTTGAAGACCTCCTTCCTCCCCGAGAATGTTGATTACAACGCTCGTAAGAAGCTAAGGGAATTATCCCACACTGGGACTATACGGGAGTATGTGAGAGAGTTCTCAACCTTGATGTTGGATATAAAGGATATGTCAGAAAGAGATAAGTTGTTTCATTTTCTTGAAGGGCTCAAGCCATGGGCTAGACTCGAGTTGCAGAGACAGAAGGTTCAAGATTTGACAGTAGCGATAGCTGCTGCCGAGTGCCTTAATGATTATAACGATCATCCTGGAAAGCGCAAGACGCCTTCTGTGAGTAGAGCTAACACCCAACAGGTTAGAGGGAACAAGTTGGCTCGAGGGGAGAAGACATCGAGTTGGGGAGCAAATAGAAGAGTCCCTGGAAGGGACCCAGCTCAAAATAAAGTCCCTACTGGTCCTGGATCGAGCAATGGAGGGAATAGACCCTCGTTAAGGTGTTTTCTTTGCAATGGACCTCATCGGGTTGCAGAGTGTCCACAACGAAGTGCTTTTAATGCCATGGTTGCAACAACAAAGGACAGAGAAAGAGTGAACGCTCCGATAGGAGATACTGAGCCTGAGCCGGTTAGAATGGGCTCCATCCGATTCATAACTGCATTACAGTCTCAGTTGAGTAACTTGAGGAAAGAACCAGAGAGGGGATTGATGTATGTGGACATCTCAGTAAATGGGAAAACCTCTAAAGCTCTAGTCGACACAGGGGCCACATATACGTTTATCTCTCCTGAGGAAGCGGAGAGATGTAAGTTGATTGTCACCAAGGAGGTGGGACAAATGAAAGCAGTTAACTCTGCCGCTTCAATGATATGTGGAGGTGTGAAGAGGGTCAGTATCAAGCTTGGGTCTTGAGAAGGAAGTGTAGATTTCACTGTTTCCCATATGGATGATTTTGACGTGGTATTAGGGCTCGATTTTATGATAGCATCCCAGGTGATTCCTGTTCCGGCATCAAGTTGTTTAATGTTCATGGGGGAGCAGCCATGTGTGGTACCAGCTATGATTCTCCCTCGTCTTGGGAAGAAGATATTGTCCGCTATCCAATTTAAGAGAGGGGTGAAAAAGGGGGAGCCCTCCTTCTTAGTCTTTCCAATTTCCAAAGAGGATGACAATCTTGGCATGGTGCCCAGGAATGTTCAAGAAGTGCTGAGAGACTTTGAGGATGTAATGCCGAGTGAATTACCGAAAGAGTTACCCCCTAGACGGTTGGTGGACCATGAGATTGAATTAATTCCGGGAGTAAAACCTCATGCGAAATGCCCATATCGGATGAGTCCTCCGGAGTTGGCAGAGTTGAGGAAACAATTAGATGAGTTGCTCCAAGCAGGATTTATTCGACCCTCGAAGTCACCTTTCGGGGCACCTGTGTTATTCCAGAGAAAACATGATGGGAGTTTGAGATTATGTGTTGATTATAGAGCATTAAACAAAGTGACTGTCAGGAATAAATATCTCATTCCGTTGATTGCCGATTTGTTCGACCAGCTGAGTAATGCTAAGTATTTCACGAAGTTGGATCTCAGGTCGGGATACCATCAAGTGAGAGTGGCCGAAGGGGATGAGCCAAAGACGACATGTGTAACTCGGTATGGAGCATTTGAATTTCTTATTATGCCTTTTGGACTAACCAATGCTCCCGCTACTTTCTGCACTTTGATGAACCAGGTGTTCCATGACTATCTCGATAAATTCGTAGTCATCTACTTGGACGATATAATGATTTTTAGCAATTCCATAGAAGAGCACTTGGAGCATCTTCGGTTGGTGCTGACGAGATTACGGGAAAATCGGTTGTTTGTGAAGAAGGAGAAATGTGCTTTCGTCCAAACGCAAGTCCAATTTTTGGGCCACATCATTAAACGAGGGCGTATTCGTATGGATAAAGAGAAGGTGAAGGCTATCCAGGAGTAGCCGACCCCACAAAATGTTAGTGAGCTTAGATCTTTCCTTGGTTTGGCCAATTATTATAGACGATTCGTAGAAGGTTATTCTCGTAGAGTAAAGTTACTCACCGATTTGCTAAAGAAAGGCTGCGAGTGGGTTTGGTCCAAGGACTGTCAAGAGGCCTTTGATGATTTAAAGAAGGTTGTAATCAGTGAACCAGTGCTTACCTTGCCAGACCTGGAAAAACCTCTAGAAGTAGAGATAGACGCATCCGACTATGCAATTGGAGGCGTACTCTTACAGGACAAACATCCTGTGGCGTTTGAGAGTAGGAAGCTAAATGAAACTGAAGCGAGATATACGGCTCCAGAGAAAGAACTTCTCGCAGTAATTCATTGCTTGAGGATTTGGAGGCATTATTTGTTGGGTTCCAAATTTGTGGTAAAGACCGATAATACAGTAGTTAGCCACTTCCTTACACAACCGAAACTAACAGCAAAGCAAGCTAGATGGCAAGAGTTTCTGGCCGAGTTTGACTTCAACTTTGAGCATAAGGCGGGGAAAAAGAATCAGGTTGCTGACGCTTTGAGTCGCAGGGCAGATTTGGCAGCACTCCGATGTGTGGCCCCTATATCCACTAGTAGAGTGTCCAATGAAATTCGTTAGCTCATTGTGAACTTTTCCAAGCAAGATCCGCAAGTGGAGGCCCTTATGGAGATGGTTAAAAAGGATGTTGCGAAGTATTTTTGGATAGAAAATGGCTTATTGATGACAAAGGGGCCACGAATGTTTGTTCCTAGAGCTGGAAATCTACGACAGAAGCTGTTGAAGGAATGTCATGATACCCCATGGGCCGGGCATCCTGGTTGGAGGCGTACTGTTGCTTTGTTGGGACAAGGGTATTATTAGCCTCAAATGCGCCAAGATGTGATGGATTACACCAAGACATGTGTTATCTGTCAACAAGATAAGGTAGATCGACAGAGGACTGCTGGGTTGCTCGAGCCACTACCTGTACCCGCCCGATCTTGGGAGAGTATCTCCTTGGATTTTATTTCACGCTTTCCTCGAGTAGGAGATCTTGGATCAATTTTGGTGGTAGTGGACAGGTTCTCGAAGTACGCCACTTTTATACCAGCATCAAAGTATTGTTCGACGGAAGAGACTGCTAAGTTGGTGTTCAAACATGTGGTGAAATATTGGGGCATTCCTCAGAGCATAGTCAGTGACCGAGATGGAAGATTTATTGGGAAATTTTGGAAAGGATTGTTTCAGTTATTGGGGACACAACTCAACTTTTCGTCGAGTTACCACCCTCAAACAGATGGTCAGACTGAGCGATTTAATGGACTCTTGGAGGAGTACCTGAGGCAATTTATTCAGGCCAATCAGAAGAACTGGCCTCCATTATTGGATGTGGCGCAATTATGTTTTAATTCACAAAAGAGTTCGTCTACTAATAAAAGCCCTTTTGAACTGGTGACAGGTCAGCAGCCAAGACTTCCTCACACTGTGGATGAGACCTCTCAAGGTAGATGCCCTCGTGCCTCAAATTTTGTGGGGGAGTGGAAGCAGAATATGGAGATTGCCAAGGCTTACTTAGAGAAAGCAACGAAGCGTATGAAGAAATGCGCAGATCGTAATAGGCGAGACCTACACTTTCAGGTTGGAGATTTGGTGCTAGTCAAGTTGATGCCAGAACAACTTAGATTTTTGTGCCAGAGGGATCGTCGCTTGGTGCGTAAGTACAAGGGTCCAGTCTCAATAGTAGCAAAGGTGGGGAATGCTTCGTACAAAGTTGACCCTCCTACTTGGATAAGAGTTCACCCTGTCTTCCATGTGAGCAATTTGAAGTCGTTTCACACCGATCCCAATATCGATAATCAGAGTATGTCTGCCAGGGAGTCAATCGGCACACAACCACCCTCACAGCGTCATGTTGACGAGATTCTAGCAGGGAGAATTGTTAAGGTGGGTGGAAAGCAAAGACGGGAGTATCTAGTCAAGTGGGGAGGCTTTGATCAGGAAGAGAACACTTGGGAAAGATAGTATGATCTCAGGGCATTCAAACAAAAGATTGAAGAGTTTCAGGCCAAGCAGTCGACGAGGACGTCGACAAATTAGGTGGGGGAGATTGTCGTGACCGTCCCTTTTATGGGGCCACAACCGAGTAGGTACGCCAAGGCCAACCATGTATAGGGCCTAGTGGCAGGGTAGAATAAGCTTGTCCTCTTTTCAAGCATTTTAATATTTTAGGTAGGGAGTGGGGGTATGACTTACTGTCCCCTGTTCGAGCATTTCAACGTCTATAGGTAGCATTTCTGTTATTTTGTTTTTGCATATATGTAGGGGGTGGACAGCCGGCAGAGTTTGGGCTGATCCACAGGTAAAGGTACGTGTCTTGTGAACACCATCGAGGGCCGCCCCTACGGCCTAATCGGTGGTGTGGGTGAGTCTTCTGTAACCCGATGTTTCTTTTATTAATAAAACATTTTTCTCTCGGAGAAGTCTGGGGGTTGAGGTGTGCATCCGCTATGCCCCACGAGCTCGGATTATTGGTCGAAGGACCATGTGGCTATAAAGATCTAACGCGATGTTTGTTTATGCTTCATCAGATCTACGAGATTAAGGCTGACTTGGTTGGGAAGCGTCCCTTTCGAGTGCCACACGGATTAGCAACCGAACCAACTAGGCTAAGTCCGTGACACTAGGGGACTTGGCTGGAGAAAGTTCAATTACATACCACTTGTCGGAACCGTCTTTCGGTTGGGCCTCGTAATTGGGTTTCGACTTAGAAAAATAGATTAGGAGTCGCCACCGATCATTTATTTTAAAACAAATGGGTCGATCGAATACCTTATTTCTTACCTGATCTGCGTC